CCGCAAACACACCCGAAGGATCCTATAGTGTTATAGCACAATGAACTACTGACGTCACAAGTGTGTTGTCCTGTGTGACACTCGTCTAAGTCTGGAAATCAAGATTTAGTGCTGCATTATCAAACTGAATCAGTTCTATTTCAGTTTTATATCTATTGAATGAAAAATAGTAATACAATGCTTTCGAGACTGGTAGTCCACGAATGAATAAATCAGTTTCTAAAATAAAGCAATTACAAGGAACACTAGTTCAATAGCATAGCGCGCGAATGACTTCAGAGTGACTAATTTGCAGTTTTTGTCTGAGTTTTGTCATTTTTCTCACTAATTTTTTTTATGACAAAAGAAAGGCAAAGATGACATTTTAATGACAGTGAGGAATTCGGTGATGTTAATTTCAGTTTGTTTGTCTGAGTTTCGGGTTTATAAATAGTAACTGCGAGCAGCGCTTTTGATGGTTATAACAACGGTAAAATGACAGATAAAAATCAGTTCCAAATGATTACTCAAAGTTTTAAATGTGGCAAGTTATGTTATTTATGACGAATGATCCCGCTAAGAATAAGAAATAACCTGATTTCGACAGCACGAAATACCACAGAACCTGGATGTTAGGCTAGGGGCTACAGCTAGTTCACATTAAGTTCTTTCTTTTCCAATATTTTCTCCAGTTCCTCAATTTTTCAGTGATTCAATTCTGCAAATATGAGTTTTTTTCTTTTCTTTTCTTTGTTTAATTGTTTGTTTGTTTGTTTGTTTTTTTCTACATTGTTTTCTACTTGTGCCCCCATGAAAGAACCTCTTAAATATTCTTAATTAATCTATAATACCTCCTAGCTAGATTAGCTTTTTAGCTAAAGGACTCTTGTACCTTACATAAGTAGTATTGTCTTTTGCTAATGTCTTTTTTTTCTGTGTGGTATAAATAAAGTTCTTGTCTTGTCTTGTCTTTTCCATACCGGGAGTATAAAAGGCTAAGTATAAATATCGCGTGTACGTCATCTCGGTTTCTGAAACAACCTTTCTTTGGTTTTCTTATTTTAGGAGCGGCCTATTTCGACTAACTTGTAAAGTCCCGTAGAAACGTCTTTGAGCTTGAGGCTTGGTTCTTTTCCAGATTTCCCGCCCGCACTATTTCCCTTCGTGGACTTTTAGGCAGGCTTTCTTTTCTGGCCTCTGTCTGACCGCATTTATTTCTGTTGACAGCTCAGTTCTGTCAGGTTTTTAAATTTTATAATTTTTTTTTGTACGGTTAGCGCCGTTTTTCACCCGTTCCCAATGTCTTATGTATTTATTGCCAATGTATGCTTAGAACAGCTGTCCCGGGACCGCTCTTAAGGTGGCCCGAACCTATTTATATGAGTCTTGGTTATGTTTTGAATCGCGTTTTTTGGCAGGAAAGATTTAACCCATTTCTATGATTTTTGGCATCTTTTGAAAATAAAGAATGGTCGAACTTTCAGAAACTGTTATTTATTTTCTTCTAGGTATAAAAACCTTTGAGATATCGGCATATGTTTAAAACTGTATTCGCCGTAGGTTTCTGATTACTCAGTTTCTTGCAGCAGTGTCATTGCAGATAGGAGATGGTCCGTCGGCAGCTTTCCTCTATTTGTGCATCAACTTTCACAAATGTGTTAGCGTTGCATTGTAAGATTAAATTTGACCAGGTATTTGTGCAGCGAGTTCTACGGTCACGATAGACTTCAAAATTGCAGATATAAAACTAGGGATCTCCTGAGGCTTATTTGCTGAAGTTAAAAAAAATGCGGTTTTTAATATAAACGCATGCCGATATCTCAAAGGTTTTTATACCTACAAGAAAATAAATAACAGTTTCTTAAAGTTCGACCATTCTTTATTAAGGATGCCAAAAACATCAAATCGGTTAAATTTTTGCTGCCGAAAAACGCGATTTCAAAACCTAACCAACCCGCATATAAATAGGTTCGGGCCACCTTAAGTGGCGACAAAGTCAATGATTGACGCAGTCCTGAATTGGCAATGCTACAGACCCCCAGTCAAAATCGTAATAAACACCTGTTTACCTTAAATGCTGCGCCCTAACCGTTTCTAACAGCCTAGCTGGCTATTGGCCTTCGTGTTTTGTTAAGTATATTAGTGAAGATGATCTCGTTATATCAAAGATGATCCCAAGTTTTTCTGTCTCTAAGCCTTTGAACTTGGTGTTTCCTGTCCCAGACATATGTTGGTCACACTTTTTGTTTCCCCAGCCTAACTGGCACTAAGCCTGTGTGCTTTATTGGGGATACAGTTCGAGCTCGACCAGTTAAGTTGTAGCAGTTATTATTATTACTTTTGTGAAAGCAGGAATACAAATGTTGCCTTTTTGCTGTATTAACATACGTACATTGCAGCGTTGGCTTTAACCCTATTCAGACTGGGCTTTTTTGGTCAATCTGTGACTGGGGGGGGGCTCCTCGGACCCCCCCTCTGTATCTCTGGAACCAATAATGCTAGGGTCATGAAATTTACACACAATGATCATCTCCGTACAAAGAAGCCCCACACCCAGTTTTGACTTGCCACGCCCAATGATGACGTCACAGTGACGTCATATTCCGATTTTTCAATGTTTCTTATTTTTCCACTTAGATACGTAAAATATCAATAACATTGGTAAAGTCATCTCTTTGTTATCCTTTCTTATGAACTAGTAACAAGGAAACGCTTGTACAGCGAGAAAAAGCAATAGGAAGCAATAAAATTTAAAATTTGAAATGGTTGTCCGCCATCTTGGATCCGCCATCTTGGATCCGCCATCTTGGATTTCCGTTTTTTTGTTAAAATTATAATTTAAAGCAACTTTCAAAGGGGAAAAAGCTCAGAATGTATAAAAGAAGTATCAAACTAATGTTTATTACCCAAACAAATGACTTTGGAAGTGTTATTTGGAAAATAGAGCAGCATATTTGTCAAAGCAAAAAAAGTGACAAATTTTACCCCACCCCTCCCCCCCAAATATTCGATGTTGAAACATTTTGATGTAATTCAAAAGCTAGTCCCAAGCAAAGACTATTTTAACAACAAAAAGCACTATAAGTGTAAAAACGCGATCTTAAAACAAAAAAATCATCATTTTTTAAATTTTCCAAAACCTATGTGTCAGAAACTGGTTGCCATGGCAACACGATTAATCACATGGACATGGTAATTATACCAAAATGTTCCTAGATAAATTTTAGGCAAAGTCAGAAAATTTGATCGCCATAGCTCTTTCGGTGTAGGAGTTATCACGATTTTGCCGGAGGGGGGGGGGTTCGAAAAGCCCCCCCCCCCAGTCTGAATAGGGTTAAATATACTTTTTTGGCGGTTAAAATTATTTCCGTTGCTTTTGATTTCTGTGGGAAAATTGGAGGCCACAACTTTACACGTACCAAGGCCAAAACTCTTTTCGTAGATACAATCTGTGACATAACACTGACTGAATATGAAAACAGGTTTGTACCTTTCAATTTGGCTGTATTATTTTTGGCATGGAATAGCATATGACTTAAGACAAAATCCTGTTCGTTTCAGCTCCATATTATGTTACCTGCACAGTTGACACCATCCCCAGTATATCCTGTTTTGCAAGTACACGTGAAGGAACGCTTGGTGTTGGTGCAGTATGCATTATCGTGGCAGTTATGTAGTCCTGCTTTACACTCGTCTACAAATCAGCGAGTAAAAGTTAGTTATAAGAATTTCCTTGACTTAAACGTTTTCTCCTGTTGGTACAAACGACTGATATCATGATCTCTTGATTAAAATTTATTGAGGAAACGTTGATATCAATACTCCAAACAAGTCAGTCAGCGCGGGATAATTTTTCGTGCCACGAGCGGTATTGCTTCTTATTCGTTTATGCCCTGGACGTTTAGTCTGAGCTCCGCTGTTAGTAGTCGACAAGTTTCACTTTCATAGCCAAGTTTTCCTTCTATTCACGTTTAGCGAGAGATAAAAAAAATCTTTTCTCCTGTTTGCGAGCACCCGAAATAGTTCATGAGCCAAGAACCCAAAAAATGTAACTAGGTAACACCCTTAAAATTAAAGCTAAGGGTGTGCTAAATTGTAATCAGTCTGTGTTCAGACATGAAACGTGAACATCAACTACAAAATTGGGGGTTTTATGGGGGAATGGGCTAAGAAAAATTTAACATAAAAAATGGGTAAGAGCATAAAGACTCAGAAGCAACCGTTGCCATGGCAACTCACCACTAACTTCTAAGACAGATTAGGGCCGGCGTATTTGATTGGGAAATTCGGACTTGGATTTTTGAAATTCGGATGGAACGACGCGAAATCTGAAAACGGATTTCAACGCAGATAAGCCTGTCCTTGGTTTTCCTTTCTTTCTCTTTTTGAATTTTTTTTTTGAATTTTGAATTTATATTTTTTTTTTCAGGCAGGGGAGCGGGGGGGGGGGCGGAGATCGAGGATTCGAGAAAAGATATGAACTGTTTTTGAGAGAACAGTTGTCTCGCACGCGCACGCATAACAAGTAGAAAAAAAAAAAAAACATTGTCCACGCTTTTCCAACTACAACGGTATAAAGGACACCCATAAAGTCATGATTTGGTGAAAGATTTCTCGGGGGGTGAGGGTGAAATCCGTTTTGTATTTCGCGTTTGATTGCCAAATCTAAAATCCAGACTTTAGACTCAAATCCGGATTTCCCATGGAATCAAACGGCACCTTAAATTTCAATTGTCGCCATGAATTGAAAAAGTTTGATCGAATTGAAAGGGTTTATTAACTTGAGAGAAAGGCTTCGAATTTGCATAATTATAGTTCATTATTTAAGGGAAAAATTTCTCGTCATCCACAACCATTTAATATAAGCCCCCAATTTTTCCAATAACGTTCCTTCCTTAAGTCTCATGTTTGGTAACAGACTGATCACAATTTAGCACACCCTAAGTTTTCGTTTAATAACAACGAAACAATTTCCCATAAGGGGTTGCTACAAATATTGTATTTTTACCCACTTCTTACAAAATGGCTAATGGACCTGAAATAGTTTAGCTAAAATGATACCATTAAATTCCAAGTCGGAAAATTTTGTGCGTTTTTAGAAAAAAAACCTAGCATAAACGTTTTTGGGAGTTTTCTTGTTTGCTCTTTTATTCTATACATATCTAGTCCAACTTATAGCCTTTCGGAATTGTGGCGATTTATCTTTTATTTAGAGAAGTGGCGAATAGCGAAATTGGCGGTGGATTTTTGCCCAAAATGTTTGTCTATAACTCTCAGAACCCTCACAAGATTAGTCAGGATTTCGATAATAAGGTAGCAGTGTCTCAACTCTTTTTAACTTCCGCCGTCTGATAAGCGCAGTCAGCCAGAGCGCCAGTCTGCTGAGTGAGAAGTTGCGGGTTCAAAGCCCGGCCGGACCAACACTGGACAGAGTATTGGACGTGGCCAACCTTTCCTCGGCAGGGTGGGTTATTTCTTTCAGGAATCAAAATGGCTAGATAGTGTATTTGCGGCATAAAGACTAAATGGGTTAAGGGTAAGTGGCTTTAGAAATGTAAAATCTGCACTGTTCCATATAGAACACTCCCAACTGTCCCAGAGGGTTAAACTATTCAAAAGGGCCTGCAATTCGCGAGGAAGGACTTGCTCATCCAAGGTTTTTAAATAAGCTCATTTATTTTGTATTTTTTTAACTTACCTAGGCACGTCATTTCAATTTCTCTGGCGATTTCTTCCATTAGTTCTCTGTTCCTTTCCCGCTCTTTAATAAACTCCTCTTCTTCTTTATTCATCGGAACGGGACAAACTGGAAAGCAGCAACACATATGAACAAAAAATTTCAATCTGTATGATAACGACATCTTATCAACTTTGCAAAACAATAATAAATATAACAATTATTATAATTGTAATAAATTATTATCTAATAGTAATAACTAATAAAATAATAGAAAATGACGATAAAATACTACTACTACTACTACTACTAATTTAATAATAATAACGATAACGATAATGATAATGATAATGACAATGACGATAATAATAATAAGAATAAAATAATACTAATAATAATAATACAGTCAATTTTTTCTAAGGAAGATACCTTCTGGTCCCGTCCCGACTCTCCGTCTATTAAAGGGACTGAAAGGTGAAATCATTTTCTCATTGTACAATCACACGTGGTTCATACACATGTCAACGTTCACGGCGTCTACTGAACAGCAACAGTAACGCTAAACTAAGTCCAGTTTCCCTTGAGTTTCAACCCACTTTCCAATCATCTTTACACGGTTAACTCGAACTCGGATAACTGGAATTTCCTGCTAACTCGAACTAAATTTCCTTTCCCTTGATTAAAAATGTAATCGTAACATGGCAACATAATTTTTTCAATCGACCCCGATAACTCGAACCCTCGCTAGCTCGAACTGTGTTTCGTTTCCCTTCAGAATTCGAGTTACCGGGCTTCTATTGTTCTATTGTACATAGGTTACAATGGTTTGTTTTTGATGTCACTATCTGAAGTTCCCATAAGGCTCAAACAGTTCAGCTAGAAGACCGAGAACATAGCTGTTTTACAGGTTAAGAGGTTATCTTCATTTGCCGTTTAAAAGATACGCGCTGTAAAAAGACGCGTATTATATTTGGGTATGTAATTTGCTTACCCTAATTGCAATTTGTACTGTCATGTAGTGCACCTACATTTCCGTTTTGCGGCATTTTTCGCTACCTAAAGCACTTCTCAATTGTCCGTTGATGGTTTCGAAAGTGTCGGTTGTCCGCCTTTGAGAGGTTTCCGTCTTATAGAGAGCATAGTTACAGTCAAATGACTGGACAATGACAGGGGCCAACACCAGAGGGTTGTCCGTCTAAAGAGGTGTTTGTTAAGGGAGAGCTGACTGCATAGCAAATTTATTTCAAATCCATTAGAGAAGAAAACAATCGCGCAAAGCAATTCATGAACGGACACTGAACGAAAGAAATCTTGCCAAATGTTGATCGCGCATTTTTGAAGTGTAAAATTAAAAAATAATAATAAAACAAATATAATACTATTATATTTGTTTTAATAGAAGTTATTTATTTTATCAGACGTTGTTAACATATTCACAATTTTTACATCGCCCGTAAAACATCTTGTTTACCCCCAAAATTTTGCATCCGTAAATTGTCTTCAATTTCTCTTATGATGACTGCTTACTCCAAGGAAAAATTGAAAACAATTCTCATGCAAATTTTATGGACGATGTAAAAATTATGGTGAATAAATCCTCGGAATTATGTTTTAGGGAAACTGTAAGAATGAAAATTTTAAGTGGCTTTCTGTACATGAAGCAGAGACAGGACATTTGAAAGGGTGCTGAAATAAAATGGCGACAATCCGCAGGTGGGCAATTAAATTTGTTAGTGATGTCGTAGTTGTTAGTTGTTACCTCCATGATTTACATCTTCCTCTGTTATCATCGCGACTGGGAACATGATAACGAAAATAATGATTAATGTTTTCATGCCTGCCATCTTCCAATCTGTTGAAAACAAAATAATCATTGTTCATAGCATGTCACTCAGAATTTATTTCGTGGGTGTTAAAGAGTTAGGCTCGCAAAGTTTAATAACCACGTGTTAGCGGGAGGGGAGGGGAGGAAGGAGGTTCCCTGGAAAATAGGCTTTGATAGACTGTGCTCCCAAAAGTAGCATGATATGCTACTTGCAGTGCTCGTATATTTCTAAAATTATGCCAATAATTCTGCTAGTTTTTGTAAATTAAGCTCGTTTTAGCAAACAAAATGCAGAAATTATGCCTCTCACATTTTACTTTAAATTTGTTAACAAATAACACTTCAATGCTTCATGTACAAGTAAATGGCAACTCATTTACCCTCATGAAACTTTAAGAATCCTTATATCATTGTCTGACAAGTATAAATACTCAAACAATAATTAACCAACACGCGGACGCCACCCCAGGTAACCGAGCTTGTTATGTCCGTAAGTTGAGTCTTGTGGAGAGAGTCCTGAGTCACTTCCTGTGGGACCCAGGTCCCATGAATGTGACAATAAGCAGACAAAGAAATGATTTCGTTACTTAAATTTGCCCGTAACACAGATCTCGGATCAAAAACATTGGTTGCATGTTCAATAAATGACAATTCAGTTTGTATTGAAAAATTATAACAAAAAGTGCAAATTATGCTAGCAGTGTTTTTTTTCAAAAAGATGAAAATTATACTCGTAGTGACTAATTGTGCCAAAATCATGCTTGTCCAATCTATAAAAACCTACTGCAAAATGCCGGTGATACCACGATGCATAATTCCTTAAAAATCCCTTACCCCATTTCCCATGTATGCATTACCCTGGTGAGGGTAAAAACTGGGGATAAAATCTCTCTCCTACTTGCATACAATAACTTTTTTAACTTAATTATCTATGCAGCTATTGTACATAATTATATGATCCTATCAGAAACTTCAATAGAGGAGTTCCCCCTGAGACGGAGACAGATTATTATAAAGAGTACCCCAGGGAATTATATAGTCCGTTCGCACATCACCCTGGCGTTTATTTGATCAAACAAAGTCAATCAGTTAAAAAGCCCGTTCAAGCTTTCTAGGAAACCGCGGAGACCGAGAGTTAGAACAAAAAAAAAAATAGAAAAATAGAAGCCAATTAAACTGCAGTCTTAAAAAATACTTCTTTACACTATATCTTCCAAGAAGTTTTTTTTTTATTTTTGTATTTTTGTAAGTCGTGAATACCACATAAAATTTTGAATATATTTCCCGAGAAAACATTTATATGGATAAAATGAAATTTGAACTAACGTTGTATGACACGGTTGTTTTACTGAAAAACTAATATACCTTCTTTCCCTTCAAAACAATACTTCTTTTTTTTTTTTCAGAGAAAGACCCGAGCAGCATTTTGCTCAGTTGTTTAAGTTTGTTCAGAAATATTTCAATCAATAAAAAAAAATAGAATTTCTTATTATTCTTATTACTTATCGTCGTTTTGGGGAGAAAATAATTATAATATAGATAAATAAACAAATAGAGTAAATAAATAAAGAATGGACCGGTCGAAACCGACCACAGAATAGAGAAACTCATGGTCATCAAAAGTTAACATAAATACTAGTTGCAAATTATCTACATCACGGGTCCGAGTATGTGTTCATAAAAAAATAAGTCTCTCGTTAGGCGAAGGGCAAGTCTGCTAAGCTTGCGTCTTGTCGCTATGATCAGTCGGTTTTCTTCTGTGTCCAGTAGTGTCAATGCAACACCCGATATTTTTCGTTCTTTTTTATTTATAAAGCAAATGTCGCAGATGGAGAAAATTTTTGCATTCTTCTGCCGGTCAAGAATTGTAATAAAACATCACTTTCCAGTGAACGCAATCCAATCACTCTAGCTGAAATCATTATCAAAACCGCGCAAGACAGTAAAGCAGAAATAGGAAATTCTGAATGGACAAGGTGATTGATACATCGAAGTGCTTCTATGAACTAGCGTGGCGTGAGCGATGAACATGCTAACCAATGTAAAAGGAAGTCAAGTTCGTGTATGCGACGACTGTCAAAATACAAACAGAAGCTGTTCATGCATTGACGTGCCGAAACATAAAGTAAAAGACTTTTATTGAATTAATAAAAAATACAAAATGAAGAAATACTGAAATTAAAAACAATGTTAAATGTTTCTTTTCAGACGACATCTGCTATTTGTAGATTGAATATCTTCAGTACTTGAAGAGAAATATGCAGTTGAGGACGGGAACTTAACATCGACTAAGTGTAACGGTAAGCATGCTTTACCTATCTTTTTAAACTAGAAATTATTTTGAATAAATAATAAAACAACGATCGGATCCAGATAGGTCTTTTAACCGCTGAAACTAAGGAAGGAAGGAAGGATGGAAAGAGGGAGGGATTCGTGGATGAGAGGACAACAGACGCGGTGCCCTCTTTACACTAAATATATTATAACATGTATATAACTCATCAATATTTTACATACACTGAAAGTGATGCCGAAATAAACAGGAATATTGCCCTCACGCTAGTCATGATGATAGTAAGAACATCACTGAAATAACTAAGAAATAATGTAGGAAAAATCACCTCTCACCTCCATATCATTCTTGTTATTTAAAAGTTTTATTTTCTTACCTAAAAATTTTCAGCTCTTCTGATCAGTTGTGTGTCTCCTAACTTTTGGTGGCTAAAAGAGTTCTGCTGTTCGCTTCTTCAATTGTCTGAGTTGTTTACCTGTGAAGATCAAAATACGTCTATCAATTTAACCTCAAACAAGATTTAACGCGGGATATGTTTCGATATATTTTCAGGAGGACCCTTCTCCCCAAAAAAAAAAAAATTAAAACGCAAAAAGATCAGTTTTTTGTCACCTGAGGTGCCGGCTTGTCGGGCTGACAAATAAAAATTTTTGACCAAAAACAGCAGGCATGATCTCATTTTTATTATTGACGTTAGCTGGTTAATGCTTCATTTTTCCGGTTTTGGTCCTAATGGGCATAAATTGACGAATTCCGCCACCTGGTCGCAAAGAGACAAATGCATTTTGTTTTTACAAATATAGTTTATTAACCATATGATTGACGTGTCATGGTCATTTTAAGGAAGAAGTGATACCGAGATGAATTTACTTTTCTTTCTTCCGTAATAGTTGATTCCTTCTGTGGTAACGACAAGTTTCTGTTATTACCTAAAATAGTTGTACGAAACTTTGATATAAGCAAGGAATCCTAAGCAAGTTCCGCCTTTGGAGCTGCCGCATATAGTCTATGAGATAACTAACTGGACTGTTTAAATCCTTCAGACTCAACAAATTTAACGACATCTAAGAGCAAATAGAAATCTAGAAGTTCGAGTTCCGACGAAAGTATCTAAAAACTCACTCTTTTATCCAGTAGAAAAAAGATGGGGATCTTCGCTTTCAGGATAAGTTAAACTGTGTAATAATCACCCATGTCACAGAAACATTTTATTGAGGAGATATGATCATCACTCACTCGATAAACGCTGAGGCTGGAAGCAACACCCTTTGGGGCCTGTCTTGGCTTATATACTTCCAAGTATATGCATATGAAAAAAAGTAAGAAGCCTCAGATTTATTAATAAAGAGTTATATAGACTTATACAGTCGCAAACTTCCGAGGGAATAGTCGGAAAGCTGGGCGCTCACACTGTTCAGAGATATCACAATCCAAAAATCAGAAGTGATTTTGATTGGATGATTGTCAAAACATTCGCATAAATTATACGAGTTATTATTAGAAATTTTAGCAGGACTGTAATTTGATATTCAGCAGATCGCATGCTTGCGTGGAGTGAGTGTGGATTGCAAATTTTTTGTCAACTTTAGTGGAATTGTATTCATTTGGAACGATTTTATCAAACTGTAACCCTAAAATAAAACGTTCAATTCCATCGCTAAAAGTTTTTATTTGACTTCTTTTCTTCCTCAGATGCGAAAAACAGAAGAAATTGACCAATGATAAAGAATGTTTTGAAGAGCAAAACATTTCTAAGATATATGACGACATATAAGTCGGTGTTTAGGATTCTACACTAGATGAAAGAACGGAGTAAAAAACGTTTTGGCCTGTTCAAGTAACTTTCTATTTTCAGTAACATTCACGTCATTGAATGAAGTGCACATCATTCCTTTTTTAATAGCCGCAGGATAAAATAATTTTTTTTGTCTCAAAAAATGCTATGCCGCTAACAAACGTTTAAAGTCCTATGAAAATGTGAGCGAAATTCTTCCTTTTTAATATAGGGAAGAACAGTTTGCGCGAATGCAAGGTGTTTGTAGAAGTCCGATAAAGCATTACTCACTCGAAGGATAATTGTATTCTTATATCAGGTACTAGCAATCGTTCGATGGTATATAAAGAATATGTCTTCTATTTGACTTCATTAAACACATATCTTTGTACATCTTTTTAATTCAGTGACCTCATGGTAGGGAAAAATACACTTAAATTGTGAAAAAAATATAGTGAAGGCTTTTAAACGTGACCTCACAACCTGCAAACTCCAATTCGTGTTGCGACTTCGCTTACTTAACAACTCGAACCTAACTACTCACAATGCTAATTCACTGGTGACCAGTGACTTGCCTTGGCATAAAAGTAGAAACAAAATACTAACTACAGTACACAGCGTCATTTCGCCTTACGAAGTCAACTCGCAATTTCCACCACCAACTTTAACACAAAACCCATCGGCGACTTTAATAAAGACTTAAAATCCAACTCATAAATCCAGCATATCTACAACTCGCTAGTTTGGGTGTTAAGCATTTCTGGGGGAAAGGGGTAGAGTGAAGCGAAAAGGTACTTTAACTGTTTGTTTCCCGTAACAGATAAATATGTTCACATACGGCGCAGTGGTGTCGATAACGCCGTTCATGATCAAAGTATAAAGATAATCGAAATATTGTAAGTGAAAAACATCTCTATCTTTCATTTATGGTAAAGCGTTTTATAGTTTACGT